TGTTAGCATGCTTCTGGCAAGATAGTGATTGAATGAGTGACAGCTAAAATGTTTTTCTTCTCTGTTAGATAACGCTATCTTGGTGGGAGAAATCCAGTGTTAAAAAAAAAAAAATCACAGAGAAGCATGTACTACTAAAGATTACTACAAAGTGGAGGAGCTTTGCAAAAATGAACACTTTATATTTGAGAAGATAGTGTATGTAAAGAAACTGGCCTGGCCTAATGTGTAAAATTCTATAAGAGTGTCTGGACAAGCTGTACATATGGTAATTTTTTTTTTTTTATTAACACATCAGCCATTTCCCACCAAGGTAGGGTGGCCCCCAAAAAAAGAAAAACTTTCATCATTTGTTACCAATTATTCAGGTTATTCTGATCATGTGTGAAATTTCCATGAGTTAGACATTCACAAAACACTCATGCCATTTATGCAAGACAAGAACTGATATCACATTGGAGAAAGGGAGTATGGAAGAAGTGAATGTTTTCAGATATCTGGGAGGTAACGTGTCAGCGGATGGGTTTACGAAGGATGAGGTTAATCACAGAATTGATGAAGAAAAAAAGGTGAGTGGTGTGTTGAGGTATATTTTATTTATTATTTATTATCACACTGGCCGATTCCCACCAAGGCAGGGTGGCCCGAAAAAGAAAAACTTTCACCATCATTCACTCCATCACTGTCTTGCCAGAAGGGTGCTTTACACTACAGTTTTTAAACTGCAACATTAACACCCCTCCTTCAGAGTGCAGGCACTGTACTTCCCATCTCCAGGACTCAAGTCCGGCCTGCCGGTTTCCCAGAATCCCTTCATAAATGTTACTTTGCTCACACTCCAACAGCACGTCAAGTATTAAAAACCATTTGTCTCCATTCACTCCTATCAAACACGCTCACGCATGCCTGCTGGAAGTCCAAGCCCCTCGCACACAAAACCTCCTTTACCCCCTCCCTCCAACCCTTCCTAGGCCGACCCCTACCCCGCCTTCCTTCCACTACAGACTGATACACTCTTGAAGTTATTCTGTTTCGCTCCATTCTCTCTACATGTCCAAACCACCTCAACAACCCTTCCTCAGCCCTCTGGACAACAGTTTTGGTAATCCCGCACCTCCTCCTAACTTCCAAACTACGAATTCTCTGCATTATATTCACACCACACATTGCCCTCAGACATGACATCTCCACTGCCTCCAGCCTTCTCCTCGCTGCAACATTCATCACCCACGCTTCACACCCATATAAGAGCGTTGGTAAAACTATACTCTCATACATTCCCCTCTTTGCCTCCAAGGACAAAGTTCTTTGTCTCCACAGACTCCTAAGTGCACCACTCACTCTTTTTCCCTCATCAATTCTATGATTCACCTCATCTTTCATAGACCCATCCGCTGACACGTCCACTCCCAAATATCTGAATACGTTCACCTCCTCCATACTCTCTCCCTCCAATCTGATATTCAATCTTTCATCATCTAATCTTTTTGTTATCCTCATAACCTTACTCTTTCCTGTATTCACCTTTAATTTTCTTCTTTTGCACACCCTACCAAATACATCCACCAATCTCTGCAGCTTCTCTTCAGAATCTCCCAAGAGCACAGTGTCATCAGCAAAGAGCAGCTGTGACAACTCCCACTTTGTGTGTGATTCTTTATCTTTTAACTCCACGCCTCTTGCCAAGACCCTCGCATTTACTTCTCTTACAACCCCATCTATAAATATATTAAACAACCACGGTGACATCACACATCCTTGTCTAAGGCCTACTTTTACTGGGAAAAAATTTCCCTCTTTCCTACATACTCTAACTTGAGCCTCACTATCCTCGTAAAAACTCTTCACTGCTTTCAGTAACCTACCTCCTACACCATACACTTGCAACATCTGCCACATTGCCCCCCTATCCACCCTGTCATACGCCTTTTCCAAATCCATAAATGCCACAAAGACCTCTTTAGCCTTATCTAAATACTGTTCACTTGTATGTTTCACTGTAAACACCTGGTCCACACACCCCCTACCTTTCCTAAAGCCTCCTTGTTCATCTGCTATCCTATTCTCCGTCTTACTCTTAATTCTTTCAATTATAACTACCATACACTTTACCAGGTACACTCAACAGACTTATCCCCCTATAATTTTTGCACTCTCTTTTATCCCCTTTGCCTTTATACAAAGGAACTATGCATGCTCTCTGCCAATCCCTAGGTACCTTACCCTCTTCCATACATTTATTAAATAATTGCACCAACCACTCCAAAACTATATCCCCACCTGCTTTTAACATTTCTATCTTTATCCCATCAATCCCGGCTGCCTTACCCCCTTTCATTTTACCTACTGCCTCACGAACTTCCCCCACACTCACAACTGGCTCTTCCTCACTCCTACAAGATGTTATTCCTCCTTGCCCTATACACGAAATCATAGCTTCCCTATCTTCATCAACATTTAACAATTCCTCAAAATATTCCCTCCATCTTCCCAATACCTCTAACTCTCCATTTAATAACTCTCCTCTCCTATTTTTAACTGACAAATCCATTTGTTCTCTAGGCTTTCTTAACTTGTTAATCTCACTCCAAAACTTTTTCTTATTTTCAACAAAATTTGTTGATAACATCTCACCCACTCTCTCATTTGCTCTCTTTTTACATTGCTTCACCACTCTCTTAACCTCTCTCTTTTTCTCCATATACTCTTCCCTCCTTGCATCACTTCTACTTTGTAAAAACTTCTCATATGCTAACTTTTTCTCCCTTACTACTCTTTACATCATCATTCCACCAATCGCTCCTCTTCCCTCCTGCACCCACTTTCCTGTAACCACAAACTTCTGCTGAACACTAACACTACATTTTTAAACCTACCCCATACCTCTTCGACCCCATTGCCTATGCTCTCATTAGCCCATCTATCCTCCAATAGCTGTTTATATCTTACCCTAACTGCCTCCTCTTTTAGTTTATAAACCTTCACCTCTCTCTTCCCTGATGCTTCTATTCTCCTTGTATCCCATCTACCTTTTACTCTCAGTGTAGCTACAACTAGAAAGTGATCTGATATATCTGTGGCCCCTCTATAAACATGTACATCCTGAAGTCTACTCAACAGTCTTTTATCTACCAATACATAATCCAACAAACTACTGTCATTTCGCCCTACATCATATCGTGTATACTTATTTATCCTCTTTTTCTTAAAATATGTATTACCTATAACTAAACCCCTTTCTATACAAAGTTCAATCAAAGGGCTCCCATTATCATTTACACCTGGCACCCCAAACTTACCTACCACACCCTCTCTAAAAGTTTCTCCTACTTTAGCATTCAGGTCCCCTACCACAATTACTCTCTCACTTGGTTCAAAGGCTCCTATACATTCACTTAACATCTCCCAAAATCTCTCTCTCCTCTGCATTCCTCTCTTCTCCAGGTGCATACACGCTTATTATGACCCACTTCTCGCATCCAACCTTTACTTTAATCCACATAATTCTTGAATTTACACATTCATATTCTCTTTTCTCCTTCCATAACTGATCATTTAACATTACTGCTACACCTTCCTTTGCTCTAACTCTCTCAGATACTCCAGATTTAATCCCATTTATTTCCCCCCACTGAAACTCTCCTACCCCCTTCAGCTTTGTTTCGCTTAGAGCCAGGACATCCAACTTCTTTTCATTCATAACATCAGCAATCATCTGTTTCTTGTCATCCGCACTACATCCACGCACATTTAAGCATCCCAGTTTTATAAAGTTTTTCTTCTTCTCTGTTTTAGTAAATGTATACAGGAGAAGGGGTTACTAGCCCATTGCTCCCGGCATTTTAGTCGCCTCATACGACACGCATGGCTTACGGAGGAAAGATTCTTTTCCACTTCCCCATGGACAATAGAAGAAATAAAAAAGAACAAGAGCTATTTAGAAAAAGGAGAAAAACCTAGATGTATGTATATATATATGCATGTGCGTGTCTGAAGTGTGACCAAAGTGTAAGTAGGAGAAGCAAGATATCCCTGTTATCTAGCGTGTTTATGAGACAGAAAAAGAAACCAGCAATCCTACCATCATGCAAAACAGTTACAGGTTTTTGTTTCACAGTCATTTGGCAGGACGGTAGTACTTCCCTGGGTGGTTGCTGTCTACCAACCTACTACTTGAGGTATATGTGGAGACAAAAAAACGTTATCTATGGAGGCAAAGGAAATGTATGAAAGTATAGTGGTATCAACACTCTTATATGGGCGTGAAGCTTGGGTTATAAATGCTGCAGTGAGGAGGTGGTTGGAGGCAGTGGAGATGCCCTGTCTAAGGGCAATGTGTGGTGTAAATATTATGCAGAGAATTCGAAGTGTGGAAATAGGTGTGGAGTTTAAAGTATTAGTCAGAGGGCTGAAGAGGGGTTGTTGAGGTAGTTCTGTCATTTAGAGAGAATGGATCAAAGTAGAATGACATGGAGAGCGTATAAATCTGTAGGGGAAGGAAGGCGGGGTAGGGGTCGTCCTCAAAAAAGGCTGGAGGGAGGGGGTAAAGAAGGTTTTGTAGGCGAGGGGCTTGGACTTCCAGCAAGCATGCATAAGCGTGTTAGATAGGAGTGAATGGAAACTAATGGTTTTTGGGACCTGACAAGTTGTTGGAGTGTGAGCAGGATAATAGTGAAGGGATTCAGGGAAACTGGTTATTGTTATATAGCCAGACTTGAGTACCGGAAATGGGAAGTACAATGCCTGCACTTTAAGAGAGAGGTTTGGGATATTGGCAGTTTGGATGGATATGTTATATATCTTTATATATGCATCTAAACCATTGTATCTGGGCACCTCTGCAAAGACAGTGATTATGTATGAGTGAGGTGAAAGTGTTGAATGATGATGAAAGTGTTTTCTCTTTGGGGATTTTCTTTCTTTTTGGGTCACCCTGCCTCGGTGGAAGATGGCCGACTTGTTGAGAAAAAAAAAAAAATATGTCATGAACACCTAGTCACCTGTTGCTTTTGTTGCTGGTGTTGATTCCCAAGTTGTTGTGATAGCATCCTACGCTGCTGTGCAGTATTAGGTTTGTTTACCTTGCCTCGGCCACTACCCTTCTGTTGGGTGTGCAGTCTGTTTTCAAGTTGCTTTAAATACTGATCTTGATAAGAAGCTTGGTGTTCATCCTGTGACTGTTGCTGTTGCTGAAGAACAGGAGTGCCAAGTCTCTGCAAGGGACTGTTTCGTTGAAGCCTGGTCCCCTGGCTTCTAGAAGGAACAAGAGATGCTGAAGCCTGATGGCTGGCTACGCGCAACCCTTGGCTGTTCAGCACAGAAGATACATGTGTGGATGAGTGTGGTGGCAATAGAGGGGTAGATTGAGTCAATTGTGCTTGTCCACCCACCTGTGCTGGGGACTGGGCACGCACGTTGCTCAAGTTAATTGGAGTACGTACTATGTGCACGTAACCTTTATCATCTTCAAGTGTCTGAAAGGTAAAAAATCTATTACTAGTAATTAAGCAGAAATAATTTTTCAAATTTGGACGAAACACAAATATAATACCTGTGATGTAAATAACAATACTACAGCTACTTGTTCCTTACAGTCATCAGGCATTACTCAACAAGGCAGGGAGATAAAATAAGAAAGCAATCACCATCACCTGCTCTCTGTTTTTCCATGAGCTAATGAAAAGAATATGAAACAATCATTGAGAGAGAATGGTAAAATATGAATAAGGAAATATTGCTGAGACTGACTGACTAAACCTTTCACACAGGAAAGGTTGAAGGGAAGGGTAAAGATTTTGTGTGCGAGGGGCTTGGACTTCCAGTAAGCATGCATGAACGTGTTAGATAGGAGTAGAGACAAATGGTTTTTAGGACTTGACGTGCTGTTGGAATGTGAGCAAGGTAACATTTATGAAGAGATGCAGGGAAACCAGCACGCTGGACTAGAGTCCTGGAGATGGGAAGTACAGTGCCTGCACTCTAAAGGAGGGGTGTTAATGTTTTTTTTTTTTTTTTTTTTTTAACAAGTCGACCGTCTCCCACCGAGGCAGGGTGACCCAAAAAAAAAGAAAGAAAATCCCCAAAAAGAAAATACTTTCATCATCATTCAACACTTTCACCACACTCACACTTTATCACTGCTTTTGCAGAGGTGCTCAGAATACAACAGTTTAGAAGCATATACGTATAGAGATACACAACATATCCCTCCAAACTGCCAATATCCCAAACCCCTCTTTTAAAGTGCAGGCATTGTACTTCCCATTTCCAGGACTCAAGTCCGACTATATGAAAATAACCGGTTTCCCTGAATCCCTTCACTAAATATTACGTTGCTGTTTTATAACTGTAGTGTAAGCATGCCTCTGGCAAGACAGTGATGGAATGATAATAAAAGAGTTTCTTTTGTGGGCTACCCTGCCTTGGTGGGAAGCAGCTGATGTATTAATAAAAAAATATATACATATTTTTTAATGGAAAATTAGCATTAAGCACAAAGGTCCTGAGGATATGATTTTCTTAATTAAAAGTCAATCTGGTGTACTTAGTATTTTATAGGAAAGGTTGCAATTAAGTCTTTCACTGTCCAGACCCCTGATATCAATATTGCTCTCGGTGTCTACTTTAAAAAAAATCTTCTGAAATTTGGTGTAAAACTTACAGAATTACACAGGCACAAAGTTACCAATTTACACAACAATTTTGCCCGTGCTGGGTGCTATTTTAACCCAATTCCACTGTTCCTTTGACCAAATTCATAGCTATTTCACGAGTATGCCTTCTGGCCTATCGACTGAGCACAAGAAACTGCTCATTCATCTATTGCAGCTACCCTATGAAGTGAACAGAAGTTGGAATTTGGCCAGTTTTTCACAAAATTAAAAAATACCAATAAAAATAGTCTAAAATAAACAATGGAGACATTCCTGACACTAAAACAACATTTCTTCTGTTCATTAACCCTTTGACTGTCGCAACCCCCAATCCTGAGGTGTCTCCTGGTGTCGCAAAATTTAAAAAAAAAAAAAATCTTATGAAATGATAGAGAATCTTTTCCCGATTGTAATGACACCAAAAAAACGAAATTTGATGGAAAACTGACAGAATTATGCTCTCGCGAAGTTAGCGACCTCGGCGCTGTTTAAAAGTCGGCGATTTCGCCCACTTTGAGCCCTATTTTCGGCTAATTCCATTGTTCCAGTTGCCCAAACTCATAGCTATTTCTTTAGAACTCCATTTTTTCTATCGATTGAGTACAAGAAACTGCCCATTTACCGATTTCAACTACCTAATAATGTGGTCAGAAATTTGCAATTTGGCCAATTTCACGAAAACTAAAAAAATTGACAATTTCAAAATAAGGTCCAGAATGAACAATGCAGACATTCCTGGCTCTAAAATAACATTTTCTTTGCTCATCACTCATGTCTCCAGGCCCCTCTGATATTACTCTTGCTTTCTATTTTGAGTTTTTATTCAAACAAAAAATAGAAGACTTACTATTATGCAGACTACTGCAATACTGTAATAATTGTAAAATAACATCAACCCATTCATGACTGCATATTAGAATGGCTAGTTGGACATTTATTGGACAATGGCATCATTTGTTTACTTTTGAACATTGGCAAAAATCAAACATTTCCCCTACTTTGATCTCCATTTCTAGGTTCTTTTTATAGTAAAATCAATCAAAATCACCTCTATTTCTATAATATGTTTTCCATTCTATCAAATGAGACCAAGAAAACGAGAATACAACCATAAATACTATACGAAAATAGACCACAAAGTCGGCATTTTAATTAAAAAAAACGGTCGGAGGTTTTTTTTTCTCATTATGCACTGCGTGCTCCAGGATTTTTTTTATATGGTGCACACTGACCACACAGACCCATTCTCTCACATGTGGGCCTACCAGCTTTCTCATGCTTGATTTGAAGCCGCTAGAATTTATGAGTATATATACGTCAAACACGGTACCTCGTAAGACGTATATATACCTCCGCGACAGTCAAAGAGTTAATCACATCCCCAGGCCTCTTCTATATTACACTTGTCTTCCATTTTGAATTCACTATCATAAAAACAGAAGATTTACTCTATTTCTTAGCTAACAAAATATAACCAGGAATTATTTGTTATGATTTACGGTGTCCTAACACACCTACCATCCGACTTACGACCTGCTCGACATACGTCCACTCGACTTACGACCGTGCATCTGGCAGCTGGGCTGGGCCGGCTGATGCACACCGCTGTACAATATCTGACAAGACTCGTAACGGCAATGCATCATGCAGGCAGCATCAGTTTGAGTAACCCTGCCCTATCAGCAGCATCATACTGTATTAACTGCACTAACTGGACAGTAAATTTCACCATGGCCCCTAAGATGAAGTCTGAATCTTGCACTGAAGATTGTGGCAAGAAAGGCTCTTACCCTCGAACTCTATTTGTTTTCAGTGTTGCACATAAACCTGTGTGTCTGTCTGCCTGTATATCTGTATCTGTCTATCTCTGTGTGTGTTTGTCTACCTGTGTGTCTATCTTTGTCTACCTTTGTGTCTGTCTACCTGTGTGTCTGTCTTTGTCTACCTGTGTGTCTGTCTTTGTCTACCTGTGTGTCTGTCTTTCTGTCTACCTGTGTGTCTGTCTTTCTGTCTACCTGTGTATCTGTCTTTCTGTCTACCTGTGTGTCTGTCTTTCTGTCTACCTGTGTGTCTGTCTTTCTGTCTACCCGTGTGTCTGTCTTTCTGTCTACCTGTGTGTCTGTCTTTCTGTCTACCTGTGTGTCTGTCTTTCTGTCTACCTGTGTGTCTGTCTTTCTGTCTACCTGTGTGTCTGTCTTTCTGTCTACCTGTGTGTCTGTCTTTCTGTCTACCTGTGTGTCTGTCTTTCTGTCTACCTGTGTGTCTGTCTTTCTGTCTACCTGTGTGTCTGTCTTTCTGTCTACCTGTGTGTCTGTCTTTCTGTCTACCTGTGTGTCTGTCTTTCTGTCTACCTGTGTGTCTGTCTTTCTGTCTACCTGTGTGTCTGTCTCTGTCTGCTTGTCTGTCTCAGAGCCACTCATTAAGAGTGTAATTGATCTTGAAGATGCCATATTAATAATGATAATAACACAATAATAATCACTGAGGTGCATTAAATGTGTATAAAACGTTAATATAGACATTTTGCTTAATCTATGATTTTTTTTCAGAATTATATAATAAACATGCTACATAATATATAAATTAACAAATATGAGATGTTTTCTGGTCGGCTTGACAGAGTGAACAGAAACCATTTATGTCCGGGCTGGTAACAACAACAACAACGTTTGTTTACATAACTCGTGAAACTTCTACACACTCACTCACTCACACTCTCACTCTCGCTCTCACTCTCGCTCTCACTCTCGCTCTCACTCTCGCTCTCACTCTCGCTCTCACTCTCGCTCTCACTCTCGCTCTCACTCTCGCTCTCACTCTCGCTCTCACTCTCGCTCTCACTCTCGCTCTCACTCTCACTCTCGCTCTCGCTCTCACTCACTCACACTCACTCACACTCACTCACACTCACTCACACTCACTCACACTCACTCACACTCACTCACACTCACTCACACTCACTCACACTCACTCACACTCACTCACACTCACTCACACTCACTCACACTCACTCACACTCACTCACACTCACTCACACTCACTCACACTCACTCACACTCACTCACACTCACTCACACTCACTCACACTCACTCACACTCACTCACACTCACTCACACTCACTCACACTCACTCACACTCACACTCACACTCACTCACACTCACTCACACTCACACTCACTCACACTCACTCTCGTTTATTCATTTAATCTTGTTTACTCACCTCTCACTCTACATTAAGACTACAGTTATTTTAAGGTAAGTAATGAGTGGACACGATTATTATATTATAGTTTAATAATATTATTATTATTATTCTTTCTTTCTTTCAACACACCGGCCATATCCCACCAAGGCAGGGTGGCCCAAAAAGAAAAACGAAAGTTTCTCTTTTAAATTTAGTAATTTATACGGGAGAAGGGGTTACTAGCCCCTTGCTCCCGGCATTTTAGTCGCCTCTTACAATACGCATGGCTTACGGAGGAAGAATTCTGTTCCACTTCCCCATGGAGATAAGAGGAAATAAACAAGAACAAGAACTAGAAAGAAAATAGAAGAATACCCAGAGTGGTGTGTATATATATGCTTGTACATGTATGTGTAGTGTGACCTAAGTGCAAGTAGAAGTAGCAAGACATACCTGAAATCTTGCATGTTTATGAGACAAAAGACACCAGCAATCCTACCATCATGTAAAACAATTACAGGTTTTCATTGTACACTCACTTGGCAGGATGGTAGTACCTCCCTGGGCAGTTGCTGTTTACCAACCTACTACCTAGGAATAACTATTATTATTAATATTATTATTAATTTAGGGCAATGGAGCACAGATCCACTGTATAGCACTTTGTCTGGATTTTTTGGGTTATCCTAGGTAATTTATACTATGTATGATAACTTCAGTTACGTGTACTTGTGTGAGAGAGAGATAGAGAGAGATACAGAGAGAGAGACAGCCACATTCAGTCAGCCAGCCAGTCAGTCAGCCAGCCAACCAACCACCCACCCACCCGGCTACCCACACGGTCACCCACACGGTCACCCACCTGGCCACCCACCCGGTCAGCCAGCCAGCCAGCCGGATATGTATTACACGTGTTCCAGAGTTCTTTCTCTTTACTTAGGGTATAGGCTACACTACATTCTGGCAGGATGACACTACCAGTGGTATTCTCCCATTCCACTGTGTCGACAATACATAAAGATAACAGTAACATATGATACTGTATGCGATGTAAAATTTACAATACAGTTCACTACCATGTATACATTATATACAGTACATAAATACTAATTAAAATATAACAATAGAAGTAAATTATGGTAAAAAGAATGAAGTAATGATTGTACATTACATTGCAGTACTATGTAGGTAGTTTATATAGGAAAGGTTTGACATTATGCCCTACCCAGTATGTCGGCAATTTTCAAAGGTTCGACTTATGTCCATTTTGACTCATGACTGGTTCGTCGGAACCAAGCTTGGTCTTAAGTTGGATGGTAGGTGTAATTCAGACTAATTATAAACTAATAAAACAGACTGGGAGGGTTGTAGGGGTGCCTTACCTATCATCAGGAAAATTCAGCAAACGAATTAACATTTCCACTACTTTAAGCTCAATTTCAAGCCACTTCCAGTGCTGAAACTAGCTAACCATTCTATCAAGTGATATCAAGAAACAGCCAATAAAGCCATAAAAATAATCTGAGAAAACACCTCAAAATTGCTATTTTAAAACAAACACAGTCAGAGTTTTGCTTTCTCCATCATGCACCGCATGAAAGATTTTTTTTTTTGCTGTACACATTAATCAGACCCATTTTTCTCATATCTAGGCCAAAATTTATCACTAACAGCTTATCCGAGTGAGATGATGTAGACCTATGCAAGGGACCCTGGCCTCAATGATATAGTTCTACATGACGGCCACTGAAGGGGTTAAAGATATAATACGAGAGGGGTAAAGAAGGCTTTGGGTTTTAGGAAACCTTAGAATCCAGGGGGCTAATGTATGTTAGACAGGAGTGAATGGAAACAAGTGGTTTTTTTTATTAGACATGCTGTTGGGTGCCAGCAAGGTAACATTTAAGAAGGGATTCAGGGAAACCAGTTAGCCAGACTGAGTCATGAAGGCAGGAAAGGCATTGCCTGCACTCCAAAGGAGATGTGGGGTTATTGCAGTTAGAGCGCAATCTGAATTGTGATGTCAGCATATTTCTGGCAAAACAGAAACTGAATGAATAATAGAAAATGCACAAATAACCCGCACATAAAAGAGAGAAGCTTACGACGACGTTTCGGTCCGACTTGGACCATTGACAAAGTCACACTAACAGAGGTGGAGCAGGACGGCTATATATAGGCAGGAAGAGGTGGTAGTAGTAGTAGTAGTACAAGAATTGTATATAATACCGACAGGATGAAATTAAGACACATGCACAACACCCGGGCATCCCCATCGTAGACGTTTCGCCATCCAGCCAGCCACTGGATGGCGAAACGTCCACAACAAAGACAGCCAGACGCCGCACATGTGTCTTAATTTCAACAGTAGTTGTAGTAGAAGAAGAAGAGGTAGTAGTAGTGGTAGCGGAAGAAGTGGGAAATAAGGAAGACGAGCCAGTCAAATACAAAGGAAGGGGAGCACTGCAAGAGAGCTAGATACCCACAGAGGGAGAGCAAGCGCACAGAGGTGCGTGAAAGGGGAAGTGGTGAAATAAAATAAATGAAGAAGGAACAGAAACACGAGACAGGAGAGAGAAAGACAACCCAGAGGAGAAAAGGAGAGAGGAAAGGGGAAGAGGAAGAAGAAAAAGAAAAAGAAAAAGTGAGGATTCAAGTTAAGTCACGGGTGTTCTGAAGTTTGGAGCATTTTACAATGTAGTGGGAGAGGAAGGCATCTACAGAGACGAAGCCAGGGCTAAGGTTCATACAAGGAAAGTTGTGTATTAGAGAGGATTCAACTAGACGGCGACTGAATCCTCACTTCTTCTTTTTCTTTTTCTTCTTCCTCTTCCCCTTTCCTCTCTCCTTTTCTCCTCTGGGTTGTCTTTCTCTCTCCTGTCTCGTGTTTCTGTTCCTTCTTCATTTATTTTATTTCACCACTTCCCCTTTCACGCACCTCTGTGCGCTTGCTCTCCCTCTGTGGGTATCTAGCTCTCTTGCAGTGCTCCCCTTCCTTTGTATTTGACTGGCTCGTCTTCCTTATTTCCCACTTCTTCCGCTACCACTACTACTACCTCTTCTTCTTCTACTACAACTACTGTTGAAATTAAGACACATGTGCGGCATCTGGCTGTCTTTGTTGTGGACGTTTCGCCATCCAGCCAGCCACTGGATGGCGAAACGTCTACAATGGGGATGCCCGGGTGTTGTGCATGTGTCTTAATTTCATCCTGTCGGTATTATATACAATTCTTGTACTACTATTACTACTACCACCTCTTCCTGCCTATATATAGCCGTCCTGCTCCACCTCTGTTAGTGTGACTTTGTCAATGGTCCAAGTCGGACCGAAACGTCGTCGTAAGCTTCTCTCTTTTATGTGCGGGTTATTTGTGTATTGTTCCAGTCACGGTATTGTGCCTTTTTGTTATTTAATAGAAAATGCGTTTCTTTCCTTGGGTCACCATGACTTGGAGGGAGATGGCCATTCAAGAATATAAAAAATATATACAATAAACAGAACAATGAAAATAAAATGCATGAACTACCCCTTATATCACTAGATGTGCAAAGAGTAAGAAGATATGAACATGAAATAAAAAAATATCATGAAGAATAGTGAGACTACCTAAGGATAAGATCTTTACTAGGGATGCTACAGCAAAGGAACATGGTTGGAAATAGCCTACCCAAATAAACCTGGATATCAAGAAGCATTCTGTCAATGTAATAATATTAAACAAAAGGAATAAGCTGAGTAATAATATTTTAAGCATCTTCCAGACACCCCAGTCATTTTAGTCTGACAAAAACTAAGAGACAGGACGATGGGCTTATTCCCTTCTCCTTTCCCTATAAACTCATATAGGGAATCAAAAATAAGTAATTATATAAAGGTCACAAGAAGAAAAGATAAAAGTACATAAAAAATATTAGTCCAAATATCCCTTCACCTATTGGAAAAATGCACAAAAGAAAGCAACTATACATGCTCTATAAATGTGATCTGTTGAGAAGCCTGTTGCCCAGCTTGAAGTATTTGTTGCTGTTGAAGTTGCTGCTGTTGTAACACAAGTTGCTGCTGAAGCTGAGGTGACCCTTGCTGTACTAGCTGTTGTTGCTGTTGCGGCTGTTGCAAAGGCAACTGTTGTACCTGCTGTTGACCCTGTTGCTGCTGCAGCTGAAGCTGGTAGGACTTTTGTTGTGCATGTTGCTGTGGCTGCTGTTGCTGCTGCTGCTGTTGCTGCTGCTGCTGCTGTTCTTGTTGTTGTTGTTGTTGTTGTTGTTGTTGCTGCTGCTGCTGCTGCTGTTGTTGTTGTCTCAATTGTTCTTGTGTGAGCTGTGTTCTACAAAAAGAGAAATATATATATATATATATATATATATACATTTAAACAGAATTATAATACCCTTGCAAAATGTTAAAAAATTTTCTTCACATAAAACAAAAAGAAGAGTATAATGCCAAACAAACATCAAGAGTATCACCTGCATAAATCAAGGTACACTGGCACTTTTGAAATGGCTAATGTAAAAAATATTAAAAATTTTATATTAAAAGAATATACAGCCTCTCCTCACTTGGCAATGTACTCGTTTACCGACAACTCAAGACTTACAATGGGCTCTCTGACCAGTATGCATACCTAAATAATGAATATTAGAGCTGATTTCCTCCATTCTGTTTATTGCAATATATAGTACACTACTGCATAAACATTTAAAAATATATCAGAAATGTTATAAATGGTGTAAAGGTGACATTAAAACAACATCAAAGATGGTCGACACCAACCCACTACCATTATAGTATGCTCCTCACTTAAGTAACGAACTCGTTTACCGACGTGGTCTTAGGAACGGAACTCCGTTGTTAAGTGAGATGCTGTATAGGTGCTAAACCCATATAGGTCATACAATGCAGTGGTGTGATGCGTAAGAGCTAGTGGAGCTGAAGATAGTAGGGGTGCAAAATTAATATCAAAAGTTTATAAAGTAATTTAGTTTGTCAAAATGCCAAGAAGAGAGTCAGCAGCAAAAGTGGGGCTTTCAGCAAAGTCAGAGCAAGTTTATTAACCCTTAAAAGGTCCAAACAAATCGACGTTCAAATCCGTAGTGCTCCAAAAGTAGATCTACATTTTTTTTTACATATTTTCAAAAATAACAAAAAAAAAGTAGATAAAAGTTTTTTTTTGCACATTTTTAAATGTAAAACAAGAAAGAAGATCTACATTTTTTACATAGTACTTTCAAATGTTGAAAAAACGTATATACAGGTCTCCCTCAACATTCGCGAGGGTTAGGGGATCAAGAGCCTCGCGAATGTTGAAAAACCGTGAATGTTTGGTGCCCCAATATATTGTAGGGAAATATAATACAATACTGCTTCCTTAACTTGTTGAACCATGAACAATCATAAAATACATGAAAACGTCGTAAATTGTACTAAATATATACATGTTATGTTTTACTAACATGTATGTTATTAAATACCACAGACTCCTCCACTGCCTCCATCAATGCCTCCACCACTTCCTCCACCACTGCGAGTCCCTACTACCCTCCCTCCGAGCCCCGCAACTGGCAGCCAGCCCTCCCACCACTCAGTGTGGCGAGTGTTTTGTTTGTTCATTATTTGCTATTAAACTACAGTATAAATAATGTAAACCCATTCATGACTGCATATTGGAATGGCTATTCAGAAAGGTTTTGGACGGTGCCATCATGTGTTTACTCTTGAACACAGCAAAGAATCAAACATTTCTGCTTCTGCTAATAATAACAATAGTAGTAATAATAATAATAATAATAATAATAATAATAATAATAATAATAATAATAACAATAATAATAATAATAATAATAATAATAATAATAATACGATATAATTGAAGAAGGAAATTGTACAAAAATACGAGGGAGTGGTTGACACATCGTCAGTGTGACTGTTTATGCTGGAGTGAACATTAGTCTCCCTGCTCTTCCAAACATTTCACAATAATTCAGCAGTTGAGGCAGTGGTATTTAACCCTTTCAGGGTCCGTCCCGTAGATCTACGGCTTTACGTTCAGGGTCCAAACCGTAGATCTACGCCATGAGCTCAGCTCACTCTGATAAACTGTGAGTGGTACATTTGGGCCTAGATATGCGAGAATACATCTATGTGGTATGTGTGCACCACATAAAACAGATCCTGCAGCACACTGTGTATAATGAGAGAAAAAAACTTAAATCATGATTTTTCGATTAAAACAGCAACTTTGCAGTGTTTTTTCGTATGTTTTTTATAGTTGTATTTGCGATTTCTTGGTCTCATTTGATAGAATGGAAGACATATTACAGAAATAGAGATGATTTTGATTGGTTTTAGCACTGGAAATGGCTTGAAACTGAGCTCAAAGTAGCAGAAATGTTAAATTTTTGCCGATATTCAAGAGTAAACAAACGACCTCACACGTCTAATACACGTCAGCTGGTGGGTCTAATATACATTCACAAATATGGTGATGATATTTATACAATTATTACAGTATTGCATAACAGTAAATCTTCTATTTTTTGGTGTGAATAAAAATTCATTATGTGAATAAAAAATCAAAATGGAATTTATTTGTAAAGCCTCAAAACATAACTAATGAACAGAGGAAACGTTAGTTTAGTGCCAGGAATGCCTACATTGTTTATTCTGGACCCTATTTTGAAATTGGAATATTTTGAACTTTGTGTTAAATTGGCCAAATTAACAATTTCCGATCACTTTATTTTGTAGTTGAAACAGTTGACTTGGCGATTTCTTGTGCTCAATCGATAGAATAGAAGTAATACTAGTGAAATAGCTAAGAATTTGGTTGATTGGAATAATGTAATTGGCCTAAAATGGGAGTCAAAGTCGGCAAAATCGTCGATTCGTAAATGTCGCTGACACATCAAAATTCGCAAGAGCATAATTTCGTCAATTTTCCACCAAATTTTGTACTTTTTGTTTTATTACCTTCACAAAAAGATTCTCTACAATTTCATAAGAAAAAATAACAAATTTTTTTTTTGAAAATTCTTGGACACTGGTGCGTGACTCCAGATTTGGGCCTTGGACCCTGAAAGGGTTAATAACATATATGTTATAAATAATAATAGTACATATTATTAATAACATGTATTATTATTATTAATAACATGTATGTTATTAAATACCACTGCCTCAACAGCTGCCTCAACCACTGCCTCAATCGCTGCTTCAACAGCTGCCTCACCCACTGCCTCAACAGCTGCCTGCCTCAACCACTGCTTCAATCGCTGCCTCAACAGCTGCCTCACCCACTGCCTCAATCGCTGCCTCAACAGCTGCCTCACCCACTGCCTCAATCGCTGCCTCAACAGCTGCCTCAACCACTGCCTCAATCGCTGCCTCAACAGCTGCCTCAACCACTGCCTCAATCGCTGCCTCAACCACTGCCTCAATCGCTGCCTCAACCACTGCCTCTACCACTGCCTCTACCACTGCCTCTACCACTCCAGTCACACTCAATCTACAAGCACCAAACACAATGAATTATTGTGAAATGTTTAGAAGAGCAGGGAGACTAATGTTCACTCCAGCATAAACAAAGTCACACTGACGATGTGTCAACCACTCCCTCGTATTTTTGTACAACTTCCTTCTTCAATTATATCGTATTTATTATTATTATTATTGTTATTATTTTTATTATTATTATTATTATTACTATTGTTATTATTAGCAGTAGCAGAAATGTTTGATTCTTTGCTGTGTTCAAGAGTAAACACATGATGTCACCGTCTAATACCTGTCCGAATAGCCATTCCAATATGCAGTCATGAATGGGTTTACATTATTTATACTGTAGTTTAATAGCAAATAATGAACAAACAAAACACTCGCCACACTGAGTGGTGGGACGGCTGGCTGCCAGTTGCGAGGGTCGGAGGGAGGGTAGTAGGGACTCGCAGGTGGCGGGAAATTTGAATATGATTTGGCGGCTGGGAATTTGGTGGCTGGGAATTTGGCGGTTGGGAATTCGCGAATGTGTGAAGCCCGCGAAAGCTGAAAACGTGAATGTTGAGGGAGACCTGTATACGTTTGGACCATTTAAGGGTTAAAAAGCTGCAGATGCCAAAAGTTGCCTCTAATAGGGAAATTTATCATTGTCTTCAAGTAACCAATCAAATAGGCTTAACTCCTTCCCAAGGTAAATGAGATGACAAGTAACCAATCAAATAGTCTTAACTCCCCTTCCCAAGGGAAATGAGATGTGAAGCCAAGTACAGTTCCAGACTTGGGAGCAGGTGGTTCCCAATCACTTGTAAGTTGGAATAATGACTATTAGGATTTGATGTTTACAAAACTCTCCAAAATACAGCAAAATATCATATAAGTAAAAACGTCTTAGAAAGAGCCAATCTATAATGCAGGAGAAGCACATCCAAACCCCTCCAATGTTTCTTATGTTCGAACATTGAAGGGTTAACTCTTAAAGTGCAACAAGGCTAAAAATAAAAACCTAACATATGATCCACTAAATAAGAATAAAAAAAAAAATTGAAGAGATTATTTTTCTGGTGGTAAAAAAATCAAACAGAATTGCAATACAGGCAATACTTATACAATTACACATCTGCAAAGTTGGCATTTTTGGTGCTCAGGATAGCAACATCAGGTCCTGCCACTTGATGTGTCTTAGTGTAAATAGCGATTTTTCATTTTTTTCTTCAATATATGTAATTTTTATGCTTCATTTTCACTAATAACGAGTAGAACCATAATCTTTATGGAAACTGGTAGCTATTTTCAATTATCTACAAAGAGGACAAAGAACTCTGTCTATAGAAGCAAAGAGGGGAATGTATGAGAGTGTAGTTATACCAACACTCTTATATGGGTGTGCAGCATGGGTGGTGAATGTTGCAACGAGGAGAAGGCTGGAGGCAGTGGAGACGTCACGTCTGAGGGCAATGTGTAGTGTGAATATAATGCAGAGAATTCATAGTTTGGAAATTAGGAGGAGGTGCGGAATTTCCCAAACTATTATCCAGAGGGCTGAGGAGGGGTTGTTGAGGTGGTTCAGACATGTAGAGAGGCTGGAACATAATAGAATGACCCTGAGAGTGTATAAATCTGTAGTGGAGGGAAGGCAAGGTAGGGGTTAGCCTACGAAAGGCTGGAGGGAGGGAGTGAAGGAGGTTTTGTGTGCGAGGGGTTTGGACTTCCAGCAAGCATGCATGAGCATGTTAGATAGGAGCGAATGTAGAACTTGACGTGCCGCTGGAGTGTGAGCAACGGTAACATGTATGAAGGGATTCAGGGAAACCGGCAGGCCAGACTCGAGTCCTGAAGATGGGAAGCACAGTGCCTGCACTCTGAAGGAGGGGTGTTAACTGTAGTGTAAGCACGTCTCTGGCAAGACAGTGATGGAGTGAATGATGATTAAATTTTTTCTTTTTTTTTTTCAGGCCACCCTGCCTTGGTGGGAGACAGCCGATGTGTTAATGAAAAAAAAAAGTTCTAATAGATACATACACTATTAACAGGCCCTGGTCATGTTCATAAAACTGCTGTAGTATGGATGTCTTTGAAACTTGGCATCAGGCAGTGATGGTTTACATCGCTCTTGCAAGTATTGCATCTTTTCTCCTTTACTGTCTTTATGTTGTGTGAAAACAGAGGTAACATCTGACTGGATTTTTGGCTTTTATTTTTGTTTGATAACAGGAAATACTACTTTAGTTTTTTCTTTTGGGCCACCCCGCCTCGGTGGGATACGGCTGGTGTGTTGAAAGAAAGAAAGAACAGGAAATACTGTGGGAAAGTGATTTTCTACTGTCCAATGAGATGGTATCTGGACATCTTTATGAGGTCAATGTTTTCATCATTTGCATGACCTGTTATAGTGTCACTATTGGCCACTGCACAAAGCTATAAATATCTTCAATGGTATCACTATCTTCAGCATCAGTTATTTTTTTGGAATAAAAATGACATTTCCTGGAGGAGAACATTTTATGGTAAACACAGACCAACATGCAATTCCCACAATGCACTTGGCAGGCTGGTATTTTTTTCAATAGTGCCACCTACTACACACACTCATTCTTTGTTGTGATGGCTGCCTGTACATCTCGACCCAAATTTGAAGATAGTAGGCATGTGACGTGAATTCACATCACAGGCACTTTAAAAATCAATAAGGACTGTGGAAGAAGGCTAAAAATGTCATCAGTGACTAATGACAACATAACATAATTCACTAAATAATTTTCTTATGTATAATAGTGACAAAGAAGACAAGTGTTTGGAGGTATTTATGTGACTCCTGAGCAACAGACAGCTGTGAGTAGTCTGTTTATATTTAATCAGCTGATGACTGTGGGTCAGCAATCAATATACCTGAAGAGTGTTTCCAGGCAGTCAATATCCCCACAACTGGGTCCCAGAGCAGGTCTCCTGGAAGATCAAAGCCTGATGAACCAGGCTGCTACTACTGGCCATATGCCATACATTTAGCCAGAGGCATCAATCAACTTTACCCAGGCCATGTAAATCTCTGAATAGAAAAGTTTTCCCTGCTTGAGCCACTTTTTTTTAAACTTTTATACTGCATAAACCCAGGCAAAACTGCATTCTAGTATTTTTAATATAAAAATGAATGGTGTGCTAATAAAAATGTACTACATAAACACACAAGATGTCTGTTAGTATTTGTAAGAAAGAGTAAAAAAAAAAAAAAAAAAAAAAATATGTTCTAGTGTTATTTATATCAAATACATTGTTTTGTGGAACTTTGTGCGACATGATTTGAGTAATAAAACAAACAACAACCTGTGTCCAGAGAAAACCAGGTTCTAGAGTTTGTAATCGGAAAAAAAAAAAATAAAGAAACGTGAAAGAAAAATTGGGTGCCATGCGGCAATATTCACAGCTGTCATCAAGCACTCCATAAGTAATGAACTAATTTCATTATTTTTCGTCTTATTAAATGTAGGAAATTCTACTCAACTATTATCAAAGCTCTTAAATACAGCTGATTTGTCCATTATCAAAGCTCTTAAATACAGCTGATTTGTCCATTATCAAAGCTCTTAAATACAGCTGATTTGTCCAAGATAAATATTCAAAGTAACCATTATCTCTACCCACCTATTACCCCTCAGGTTTTGAACAAACTGTGGCTGTGCCTGCGGCTGCTGTGGCTGTGGCTGCGGTTGCTGTTGCTGCTGTTGCTGTTGTTGATGCTGCTGCTGCTGCAATATTTGTTGTTGTGTTATCTGGTGTTGCTGGAGCAGTATTTGCTGAGGGTGCTGTGCCTGCGGGGGCTGTGGCTTCACAGGGGGACTTCCAGCAAATACAACCTATGAAGAAAATTCACTTACAAGACACATTCTCCTCTAAAGGAATACAGTCTATTTTGATCTGCTATTGTTAATTCAGTTACTTATCCTTCTTAAGACAAAAGTGTAACCAAACTTCACCTCTCCACTATTCCCCAATTTTAGATCAAAAGAAGAGATCCATCACCTATGCTTGGGGGAAGGAGTAATTACTACCTTTGACATACCTGTGACCTGTTTTAAGGTTTCATCTACCCTCACAACCCAGCCCACAGGCCAGGATTCTTTGTTAACTACCTCACCAACCAGATTATTCTAATAATCCAGAGGCCCATATAGCTATCACAACCTGATTCACCAAGAATTTGTAGAGATAAAAATTTATTAAGAGTACAATCTTCAGAATCTCTGTTCCCTACCATAAAGAGGTGATCCAGATATGCTGTTATGTACCTAGCTCAATTCTGATAATGCTTTACTATTTAAAACGTCTACAGAATATCATTCAGATTCTGTTCTTGGAATCCATAACCAACAACTATCTCAAGGATGTTACACAACAAAAACCATCAACTGGAATACTAAACAATGACTTCAGACAATGTATGCCTCCCTTACTAGAATACCTAAACTATTAAACATGAAATCCCTTCTAACAAGTCTCTTGTGCCCCATATATCTACAGAACATAAAATTGTAAGACTGATCACACACTAAGGATATAACTAAAAGCCTGTCCACTGCTATGGTCACTGGACACTAAGTTCCATTTTGCCTGCCTTGGGTCATCAACCTTAAAAAGCCCTGTCTCGTATTCTCTCTTGTTGTACATTGTTGTTATAGGTTTAGACAATGTAGTAACAGGAGTGACCACAATCATTCTGAATGCATTTCTCATTTTTATAACAATTATTGCTAAGCACATACTGTGCACTCCTTACTCTTAGTCAACACCAAAGATAAATACAGTAGTTGCAACTCCTACAAGATCAACAAACTGTACATTTATACATTTTTTTTTTTTTTGAATGTGCTGGCCATCTCTCACCAAAGCAAGGTGACTCAAAAAATAAACACTTTCACCATCATTTACACATAATCACTGTCTTTGCACAGGTGCCCAGATATGATACTTTAGATGTCACTACAAACATCTAATATCCCAAACCCCTCCTTTAAAGTGCAGGCATTGTACTTCCCACCTCCAGAACTCGTGTGGCTAACATTTATTATTTATTTTATTTTATTATCACACTGGCCGATTCCCACCAAGGCAGGGTGGCCCGAAAAAGAAAAACTTTCACCATCATTCACTCCATCACTGTCTTGCCAGAAGGGTGCTTTACACTACAGTTTTTAAACTGCAACATTAACACCTCTCCTTCAGAGTGCAGGCACTGTACTTCCCATCTCCAGGACTCAAGTCCGGCCTGCCGGTTTCCCTGAATCCCTTCATAAATGTTACTTTGCTCACACTCCAACAGCACGTCAAGTATTAAAAACCATTTGTCTCCATTCACTCCTATCAAACACGCTCACGCATGCCTGCTGGAAGTCCAAGCCCCTCGCACACAAAACCTCCTTTACCCCCTCCCTCCAACCCTTCCTAGGCCGACCCCTACCCCGCCTTCCTTCCACTACAGACTGATACACTCTTGAAGTTATTCTGTTTCGCTCCATTCTCTCTACATGTCCGAACCACCTCAACAACCCTTCCTCAGCCCTCTGGACAACAGTTTTGGTAATCCCGCACCTCCTCCTAACTTCCAAACTACGAATTCTCTGCATTATATTCACACCACACATTGCCCTCAGACATGACATCTCCACTGCCTCCAGCCTTCTCCTCGCTGCAACATTCATCACCCATGCTTCACACCCATATAAGAGCGTTGGTAAAACTATACTCTCATACATTCCCCTCTTTGCCTCCAAGGACAAAGTTCTCTGTCTCCACAGACTCCTAAGTGCACCACTCACTCTTTTTCCCTCATCAATTCTATGATTCACCTCATCTTTCATAGACCCATCCGCTGACACGTCCACTCCCAAATATCTGAATACGTTCACCTCCTCCATACTCTCTCCCTCCAATCTGATATTCAATCTTTCATCACCTAATCTTTTTGTTATCCTCATAACCTTACTCTTTCCTGTATTCACCTTTAATTTTCTTCTTTTGCACACCCTACCAAATTCATCCACCAATCTCTGCAGCTTCTCTTCAAAATCTCCCAAGAGCACAGTGTCATCAGCAAAGAGCAGCTGTGACAACTCCCACCCTGTGTGTGATTCTTTATCTTTTAACTCCACGCCTCTTGCCAAGACCCTCGCATTTACTTCTCTTACAACCCCATCTATAAATATATTAAACAACCACGGTGACATCACACATCCTTGTCTAAGGCCTACTTTTACTGGGAAAAAATTTCCCTCTTTTCTACATACTCTAACTTGAGCCTCACTATCCTCGTAAAAACTCTTCACTGCTTTCAGTAACCTACCTCCTACACCATACACTTGCAACATCTGCCACATTGCCCCCCTATCCACCCTGTCATACGCCTTTTCCAAATCCATAAATGCCACAAAGACCTCTTTAGCCTTATCTAAATACTGTTCACTTATATGTTTCACTGTAAACACCTGGTCCACACACCCCCTACCTTTCCTAAAGCCTCCTTGTTCATCTGCTATCCTATTCTCCGTCTTACTCTTAATTCTTTCAATTATAACTCTACCATACACTTTACCAGGTACACTCAACAGACTATCCCCCTATAATTTTTGCACTCTCTTTTATCCCCTTTGCCTTTATACAAAGGAACTATGCATGCTCTCTGCCAATCCCTAGGTACCTTACCCTCTTCCATACATTTATTAAATAATTGCACCAACCACTCCAAAACTATATCCCCACCTGCTTTTAACATTTCTATCTTTATCCCATCAATCCTGGCTGCCTTACCCCCTTTCATTTTTACCTACTGCCTCACGAACTTCCCCCACACTCACAACTGGCTCTTCCTCACTCCTACAAGATGTTATTCCTCCTTGCCCTATACACGAAATCACAGCTTCCCTATCTTCATCAACATTTAACAATTCCTCAAAATATTCCCTCCATCTTCCCAATACCTCTAACTCTCCATTTAATAACTCTCCTCTCCTATTTTTAACTGACAAATCCATTTGTTCTCTAGGCTTCCTTAACTTGTTAATCTCACTCCAAAACTTTTTCTTATTTTCAACAAAATTTGTTGATAACAGCTCACCCACTCTCTCATTTGCTCTCTTTTTACATTGCTTCACCACTCTCTTAACCTCTCTCTTTTTCTCCATATACTCTTCCCTCCTTGCATCACTTCTACTTTGTAAAAACTTCTCATATGCTAACTTTTTCTCCCTTACTACTCTCTTTACATCATCATTCCACCAATCGCTCCTCTTCCCTCCTGCACCCACTTTCCTGTAACCACAAACTTCTGCTGAACACTAACACTACATTTTTAAACCTACCCCATTCCTCTTCGACCCCATTGCCTATGCTCTCATTAGCCCATCTATCCTCCAATAGCTGTTTATATCTTACCCTAACTGCCTCCTCTTTTAGTTTATAAACCTTCACCTCTCTCTTCCCTGATGCTTCTATTCTCCTTGTATCCCATCTACCTTTTACTCTCAGTGTAGCTACAACTAGAAAGTGATCTGATATCTGTGGCCCCTCGATAAACATGTACATCCTGAAGTCTACTCAACAGTCTTTTATCTACCAATACATAATCCAACAAACTACTGTCATTTCGCCTTACATCATATCGTGTATACTTATTTATCCTCTTTTTCTTAAAATATGTATTACCTATAACTAAACCCCTTTCTATACAAGTTCAATCAAAGGGCTCCCATTATCATTTACACCTGGCACCCCAAACTTACCTACCACACCCTCTCTAAAAGTTTCTCCTACTTTAGCATTCAGGTCCCCTACCACAATTACTCTCTCACTTGGTTCAAAGGCTCCTATACATTCACTTAACATCTCCCAAAATCTCTCTCTCTCCTCTGCATTCCTCTCTTCTCCAGGTGCATACACGCTTATTATGACCCACTTCTCGCATCCAACCTTTACTTTAATCCACATAATTCTCGAATTTACACATTCATATTCTCTTTTCTCCTTCCATAACTGATCATTTAACATTACTGCTACCCCTTCCTTTGCTCTAACTCTCTCAGATACTCCAGATTTAATCCCATTTATTTCCCCCCACTGAAACTCTCCTACCCCCTTCAGCTTTGTTTCGCTTAGAGCCAGGACATCCAACTTCTTTTCATTCATAACATCAGCAATCATCTGTTTCTTGTCATCCGCACTACATCCACGCACATTTAAACAACCCAGTTTTATAAAGTTTTTCTTCTTCTCTTTTTTAGTAAATGTATACAGGAGAAGGGGTTACTAGCCCATTGCTCCCGGCATTTTAGTCGCCTCATACGACACGCATGGCTTACGGAGGAAAGATTCTTTTCCACTTCCCCATGGACAATAGAAGAAATAAAAAAGAACAAGAGCTATTTAGAATAAGGAGAAAAACCTAGATGTATGTATATATATATATATGCATGTGTGTGTCTGTGAAGTGTGACCAAAGTGTAAGTAGGAGTAGCAAGATATCCCTGTTATCTAGCGTGTTTATGAGACAGAAAAAGAAAACCAGCAATCCTACCATCATGCAAAACAGTTACAGGTTTTTGTTTCACAGTCATCTGGCAGGACGGTAGTACTTCCCTGGGTGGTTGCTGTCTACCAACCTACTACCTATATACATTTATATAAAGTAATAAATTTCATCTTCTTGGAAAGCAGAGAAGAATTCTTCTTCCATAAGCCATGCATGTCATAAGTGGCAACTAAAATGCCAGGAGAATGGGGCTAGAAAGAAGAAAACTTTGTTTCTTTTCTGGGTCACCCTGCCTGGGAGGGAGAAGGTATTTGTATAAAATAAATTAAATAAATATATATTTATGTATACTACTGTGAGTACGAGTCAAATAAGAGAACATACCTTTGATCTAAAAAAATAAGAGAACATACTTTTAACTTGGTAATACTGATACAAGCATACAAGGAAAATATTAGTGAATTTGAAGATTAAGTTATGCTAATGTAGTTGCTAACAGATATGGAAACAATATATACCCAGACATCCAAGTGAGAGGTCAACTGAGTGCTAAGAGGACCTTCAACACTTACTTCACTTATGTTTTTTTCTAAAGCTTTCGTATGGAATATATACTACTTTGAAAGCATTGAAAAAAGAAAAACTCATACGCACAAGCAGCTTCATGAAAGTAATTCAACAATCAAAGGTTTAACATCACACCATGAACAGCACATTATACAGTATGTCAAGATTACCAATTAATACTACTATTCTGTACAACAATATATAATCAATTATCATGCATTATTTTATTATACACTTACCACTGAACATGTATTAACCCTTTCATCAGCCAGAGTCTGTTACGTAGTTCTACGTCACAAGCTCAGCTCGCTCAGATAAGCTGTGAGCAGTAAGCTCAGTATGGTAAATTTTGGCCTAGATATGAGAGGATGGGTCTGTGCAGCGAGTGTGCACAATATAACAAAAAAAAATCCTGCCCCAAGCAGTGCATGATGGGAATAGCAAAACTCTAACCATTTTTAAATCGCGCCCAGATCGCTAACTAGTGAACCGTCACCTACAGTAGAGGTTAACAAATACTACCATGCAATTTCTTAAGCATGCTTTTTTAAAGTATTTAAATTAAGTACTAGCACATGCAAATCTTATGATCAGTGTATACTAAAATATTTAACTCTGCATGGTGTAAATTCAAAAGTTAATTGTTACTACTATGAAAGATATAAGCATGCTAAAACATTACCGTTTCATAAATCTATCAAGCTGCTTTTTTAATAAACGACGGTTACCTGCTGAGGGTGCGATGGACCAACTTGAAACACCTGTTGGTGCTGTTGCTGTGGAGAGTACACTACCCTCTGCTGTGCTTGCTGTGGTGCAGTGTATACAGCCTGTCAACAATCACACAAAACGCCAATACAATAATCAAGCATAGCTTTCTCACTAATGCCGAGATGCACGAGGATTTTACTCTTACCCTTACTCTCTTACATATCAATGACCCTCACCCAAAGACAAAAAAAAAAAAACAAAAACTGGTGTGCTACTGTGGTCTGAGCAAGTGTAAGAATAAAAATAATAGCATTTCAAGGTGATGGCATGTGGTAGTGGATGAAGCAAGCAATAGAAAATAATTCACAGAAACAAGCAATTACAGTGGTACCTTAACTTACGAGTTTAATTCGCTCTGTGACCGAGCTCGTAACTCAATTTGTTCATATCTCAAATAAATTTTCCTCATCGAAATTAATTGAAATGCCATTAATCCGTTCCAGCCCCCAAAAAAACACCCCAGGGGCAGGAGAAAATACTTCAATATAGCACTAACATCAACTCTACAGTTAATTTATCCATCAGAATTGATCTAATATGACATGATAAACACTATAAGTAACAAAGAAACATGATATACATTCTAGAATGAATAAAATAGACCATAATATGGCGAGTGTCCATAACATGTTCTTTGGTCCTGGGTAAGAGAAAATGGAGTTCTTGAGAGGCTAACTGCACTAGATCACTAGTGCAGTGATATATGAATATCTCAGAAGTTACTGACTTATTTCACAAAGCCCACCATTTATTATTGAAGTAAATGCAATAATGTTGACAGGAACCATAAAAAAAAAATGACTGTTCTACAATTGGCTTGTGAAATGTTGAAAATATTCAAATATTTTGGGATTTATGTGGGAGTAAAGGACAAAATATTTTGAAAATGTCAAAAACTTAGCAACTTAATTTTTTGTAGAATAATTAAAGATAATTATTTTATAAGTATCAAGTCCCAAAACCACCTTTCGTTGTGCCATTTAGGCTGGGATTCTTGCCAAATGTCATTTTCAGCAAATATTTTTTTTTTTCCAGTAAATATTTTTTTTCGCTCATAACTCGGATTTTGGCTCGCAACTCAGAGCAAAAAAAATCGACAGAGTGATGGCTCATAACTCGGAAAACTCTTAAGTTGGGGCACTCATAAATCTAGGTACCACTGTAATGGTATCTTGTAGGAAAGTATTTCAGTGGTCCACCATACCATATAGTGGACAATGGTATGAAAAGCATATATGTACTGTTAAATTTTATCTCTAAAAGCATCATGAGATTTCCAATATAAAACAAACACAACCAAGGAAAAATTTGTGACTACTGTATTAACATACAGTAGTACTTGTAGTGGAATATGGAAAATTCTGATAACAAGGTAATTATTTTTATCTTACACCAATGATCCACTGCTCCCTTGAACTACTGGTATACAAGACAACACAAACAAGACTACATACTAACCTGCTGTGCCTGTGTGTAAATGACTTGCTGACTTGGTTGCTGTGGCTGCTGTCCTGCTGGAATTGTAATTGAATATGTTCCTTGTTCAACCAATATTCCACTCCTAGAATAAAAATACCACCATTAGTAAAATGTCTACGAATACTTGACGCTGAACACTACACATTTTTCTTGTAGTTAAAGGAGGATTGCAGAGAAACAGGATTAAAAAGGGTATGGGATACATAGGCCAAATGTTTACACTGAAACATATACATGAACAGTCCTTAGATAAAGGTAGGGAACTTTTTTGACATATTCATGTAAAAGAAAAAACTATTTCCATGAAGTGAAATACTGTACAGTGTACATGTATAATTGTGGTAAGTGACATGTACACTACATCTGCATTTTGTTTCTCCTCCAGTGCATCTAAGATCATGTCATAGTGGTCCAGTAGTTGTGAGAGGCAGGAGCAACCTGATCGAAACCCATGCTACCTGGGTTGTGCAACTGTTTAGTATCCAAGAGGTTCTTAGAGCCCTTACAAAGATTTTTATGACATGGGATGTTAGTGTTATTGGTCTGTAATTCTTTGCAATTTCTTCACTGCCAACTTTGTGGAATGGGGTTATATCTGTTGTTTTTAGTGACTGTGGGATGACTCATGTCTATCCTCCCTCTGCTCATTGGTTACATTCCCAGGCTTTACACATAAATTCCATTTTGAATTTTTATTCACATAAAAAAATAGAAGATTTACTTTAATGCACTGTTGTAATAATTGTACCACTAATGTTAGCACATACATGAACACACATTAGACCGACCAGTGGATGTGTATTGGATAAGTTACGTGATTTGTTTACTCTGCAATACTGGGAAAAATCAAATATTTCTGCTACTGTTATATTTCATGCCAGATAATCATTATTAGTGAAAATAAGGTCAAGTGTATTTCCTGTTTTGTTGACTTAACTATCTACTGACTTTAGGTGAATCTGATGCAGAGATTTTATAGATAGTAGGTTGGTAGACAGCAACCACCCAGGGAGGTACTACCGTCCTGCCAAGCAAGTGTAAAACAAGAGCCTGTAATTGTTTTACATGATGGTAGGATTGCTGGTGTCTTTTGTCTGTCTCATAAATATGCAAGATTACAGGTACATCTTGCTACTTCTATTTACACTTAGGTCACACTACACATACACGTACACTGTAGATGAATGGTTCAGAGAACCAACATGTTGATAAATAAGACACGTGCAACTTTTGGATATCTTAATTGAGGAAACGTTTTGCCACATAGGGGCTTCATCAATCCATACAAAGGAGAAACATGAAGAACAGGGGGAGAATGAGGTAATCAGTCCCTCAACCTTGAGTCGATGTGGTCAGTCCATCAATCTTGAATAGAAAACAGCATATGTGCGGAGAAGTATCTTATATACCATAGGCAGGAGAGGTGCAGCAGTAGTAGGTGGTATCACATTTATCCAATGTGGAAGTAGGTCGTGCCTAAGGGTTAGGCAAGTGAAGAATTCCCAAGTATTAAGCTCCCAAGAAGTTGCAGTGTCTGACAGGATTCCTCAATAGATACCCAAGATTTGTACATGTGTCTAATTTATCATACATGTACATGTACATGTACATGTTTATTTATACACACTCATCTGAGATTTCTTTGTTTTTATCTTAATAGTTCTTGTTCTTTTTACTTTTTCTTTTATATCCATGGGGAAGTGGAATAAGAATATTTCCTCCATAAGCCATGTGTGTTGTAAAAGTCAACTAAAATACCAGGAACAATGGGCTAGTAACCCCTTTTCCTGTAAAGATTACTAAAATGAAGAAGAAAACTGTCAAAGTGGGATGTCTGAATGTGCATGGATGTTGTGCAAATGATAAGAAAGAGATGATTGTGGATGCTATGAACGAGAAGCTGAATGTCCTGGTTTTAACTCTTTCAGGGTTTCCGACGTATTAGTACGGCTTACACAACTGGGTTACTGATGTACCAGAATGCCTAAATTCTAACGCCTTCAAATCTAGCGAGAGAAAGCTGGTAGGCCTACATATGAAAGAATGGGTCTATGTGGTCAGTGTCCGCAGTATAAAAAAAAACCTGCAGCACACAGTGCGTGATGAGAAAAAAAAAACTATGTTTTTGAATTAAAACAGCGACTTTGTACTGTATTTTCGTATGGTATTTATGGTTGTATTCTACTTTTCCTGGTCTCACTTTATAGAATGGAAGACATATTACAGATATTGAGATGATTTTGATTAGTTTCACAATGAAAAGTGCCTTGAAATTGTAAAGTAAACAAATCATGCCAAGTGTCCAATACACGTCAACTGGTGAGTCTAATATTCTTTCACAAGTGCGCTGATATTATTTATACCATTTCTACACTAATGCAGAAGTCTGCATAACAGTAAATCTTCTATTTTTTGTTGAGAATAAATATTCAAAGTGGAAAGCAAAAGAAATGTAAGAGGGGCCTGGGGACATGACTAACAAACAGAGAACTTGTTATTTTAGTGCCAGGAATGTCCGTCTTGTTTATTCTGGACCCTATTTGGAAATTGGCATCTTCTGAAATTTGTGTGAAATTGGCAAAATTGCCAATTTCTAACCACTTTATTGGATAGTTGAAATTGGTAAATGGGTGGTTTCTTGTACTCATTCGATAGAATAAATGGAGTTTCAGCGAAAAAAAATATAATTTATGTCGACTAGTACACTGGAATTGGCCGAAAATAGGGCTCAAAGTGGGTGAAATCGACAATGCGTAAACATCGTCGAGACCTCTAACTTCGCGAGAGCATAATTCCGTAAGTTTTCCATCAAATTTCATACTTTTGGTGTCATTATGATCTGGAAAAGATTCTCTATCATTCCATAAGAGAAAAAAAATTTTCCGAAAAATTTTCGACCCTGAAAACGAGTTTAGGAGAGGGCCTCTTGGCCCTGAAAGGGTTAAGTGAAACAAAACTGAAGGGGGTGGGAGAGTTTCAGTAGAGAAAAGTAAATGGGATTACGTCAGGGATTTCAAACAGAGTTAGAGCTAAAGAAGGAGTAGCAATAATGTTGAAGGATAAGCTATGGCATGAAAAGAGGGAGTATAAATGTATTAATTCAAGGATTATGTGGAGTAAAATAAAGGTTGGATGTGAAAAGTGGGTTATAGTAAGCGTATATGCACGTGGAGAAGAGGGAAGTGTAGAGAGAGAGACGTTTTGGGAATTGTTGAGGGAGCATGTGGAGAGCTCTGAACCAAGTGTGTGAGAGTACTTGTGGTTGGGGATTTCAATGCTTAAGTGGGTAAAAATGTTGTGGAGGGAGTAGTAGGTAAATCTGGGGAGCCAAGGGTAAATGAAAATGGGGAGCCTTTAATTGAGCGATGTGTAGAAAGAGGTTTGGTAATAAGTAATACATATTTTATGAAAAAGAGGATAAATAAATATACAAGGTATGACATAGCACGTAATGAAAGTAGCTTGTTAGATTATATATTGGTGGACAAAAGGTTGATGGGTAAGCTTCAGGATGTGGATGTTTATAAAGGGGCAACTGATATATCGGATCATTATTTAGTTGTAGCTAGAGTTAGAGTAAGAGGTAAATGGGACAAAAGGAAAATGGCAACAAGTAAGAGAGAGGTGAAAGTGTATAAAGTAAGGGAAGAGGAAGTTCAGGTGAGATATAAGCAACTACTGGCAGAAACATGGGCTAGTACAAGTATGAGTAGTGGGGAGCTTGAAGAGGATTGGAATAGTTTAAAAAATGCAGTATTAGAATGTGGGGCAGAGGTTTGTGGCTATAGGAGGGTGGGTGCAGGAGGAAAGAGGAGTGATTGGTAGAATGATGAAGTAAAGGGTGTGATAAAAGAAAAAAAAGATAGCTTATGAAAGGTTTTTACAAAGCAGAAGTGTTATAAGAAGAGCAGAGTATATGGAGAGTAAAAGAAAGCTGAAGAGAGCAGTGAAAGAGTGTAAAAGGAGAGCAGATGATAGAGTGGGAGAGGCACTGTCAAGAAATTTTGCTGAAAATAAGAAAAAAATTTGGAGCAAGATAAAAAAGTTAAGAAAGCCTAGGGAACGAATGGATTTGTCTGTTAAGAACAGAGTAGGGGAGTTAGTAGATGGGGAGATGGAGGTATTGGGTAGATGGGGGGAATATTTTGAGGAACTTCTAAATGTCAACGAAGAAAGGGAGGCGGTAATTTCATGCACTGGCCAGGGAGGTATACCATCTTTTAGGAGTCAAGAGCAGGATGCGAGTGTGGGGAAGGTGTGTGAGGCATTACGTAGAATGAAAGGGGGTAAAGCATCTGGAACTGAAGGGATCATGACACAAATGTTAAAGGCAAGGGGAGATATAGTGTTGGAGTGGTTGGTATTTTTGTTTAATAAATATATAAAAGAGGGGAAGGTACCTAGAGATTGGCAGAGCATGTATAATTCCTTTACATAAAGGGAAGGGGGACAAAAGAGACTGCAAAAATTATAGAGGAATAAGTTTACTGAGGTAATACTGTCCTGCCAAGTGAGTGTAAAATGAAAGCCTGTAATTGTTTTACATGATGGTAGGACTGCTGATGTCTTTTTTTCTGTCTCACAAACATGCCATATTTCAGGTACATATTCCTACTTCTGCTTACACTTAGGTCACACTACACATACAGTTTTTTTTTTTTCCAACAAGTCGGCCGTCTCCCACCGAGGCAGGGTGACCCAAAAAAGAAAGAAAATCCCCAAAAAGAAAATACTTTCATCATCATTCAACACTTTCACCACACTCACACATTATCACTGTTTTTGCAGAGGTGCTCAGAATACAACAGTTTAGAAGCATATACGTATAAAGATACACAACACATCCCTCCAAATTGCCAATATCCCAAACCCCTCCTTTAAAGTGCAGGCATTGTACTTCCCATTTCCAGGACTCAAGTCCGACTATATGAAAATAACCGGTTTCCCTGAATCCCTTCACTAAATATTACCCTGCTCACGCTCCAACAGATTGTCAGGTCCCAAGTACCATTCGTCTCCATTCACTCCTATCTAACACGCTCATGCACGCTTGCTGGAAGTCCAAGCCCCTCGCCCACAAAA